TGGCCATGTTGCACGCAGAGTTTTTAAAATGGGACATACTAACTCCTTGTTTATGTTGATTATTAAAGGTAATTATGGTCTGAATCAAGTGTGACCTCTGATGTGTGCTAAATACTACGTTGACCTTTCAGGAGTACTTGAGTACAAAGCGCCTTCGGATTGGTTACTACGAGACTGATGACTACCAGCTCGCATCTCCTAGCATGAGAAGAGCATTACGGGAGGTCAAGGCCCTGCTGGAGGATGCTGGACACACGGTATTGGAGAGAGCATCTACTTGAATGATTACCGAAAGTACACTTTTTGTCTCTGTAATGCATCTGCTGTATTCAATGCTGGAGAAGTTTAAGCCCGTTTTAGATTCTAGTGGAGATCTCAAGGTTTCCAACTATCCAAAATATGTCTAGCTGAATTACAGGGAAATTCATATAAAAAGGTATTCAAGATCTAGATATTTTCCTTTTGATGTAATGCTGTGACCATTAAAAACAAGGCATCCTGGGTTTGAATATTTCTCTCAGTACGAGTGTGATGTCCCCTCAGTGAAGCGCGGCAGCCAGCAGACACAGAATATGTATGTGACATTGTTCTACAATATAAACAAAATGCTTTTTTCTGACTTTGAACTGACTTGAGGGAAAACTGATGTGAAAACCTGGGGTTTTAAAATGTGTGGTTCACATTGACATTGACATAACAACACACGTGGAAATCAACCAGATACATCATGAAACACAATCAGGAAGATGAAACTAATTAAAACTCATGAGCAAAGACTCTCCAAGGCAGGAAGCTGAAAAGCAAAAGACTGAACTTCCTACTTCCCACAGTTATGACCCCAAGTCAGGTGACCCTACCCAACCAATAACGAAATGGCGGGGAATAAAATCACACAAATGTGCCCTTTCATGAAATCAACAAGGTTGTGCCACAACCATAAGTCATAAATGGCAAAACTCCAAGCAACAACAGGAGACTTGAGGGCTTTTCTGAATATTTGCAATGAATTTGCCATTTTTATATGAAAAAGTTTACTTGTAACTTTGTAAGTTGTCTTTGTTGTCAAATTCGAGGAAATTATGTGTCCCATCAACTTTGTCCCATCAATGCCATATTTTATAAACCAACTTCAGCTGCCTTTCAGACTCCTGGAAACATGTACCAACATACAAACCAATCAGCTGAATGTTACCAGGGCTTTTAAGAATGTCAATTAGCCTGATTTTTCAAGTAGTGGCCTTAATAAGGGAAATGACTCAACTGAATCATCTTGATTGCTTGTTTGAAGTCTCATGTCAAAAACAAATTCAAGTCGATAGGCCAAATATGGCTGTTGAGATATTTCTAGTATCCCATTTTTGTTTGTAGTAGTAGTGCCACTTAGCAGTTGATTGGCACTAGATTTTTTGTTGGGCCATGACCATTGGTCCTTAGTACTTGTCTAAAGTTTTGCGTAAATAAGACAAAGTTCTAATTTTGACCTCAATTCCTGTTTTTGCTCCATTGCGGTCAACTTTTTTGTTGAACTATTGACAGGCCATGGAAAAGATGACAAATCTAATTGATAGCTTTTTTGAGGGATAATGTTGGGACTATCTCAGCCAAATTTGGTGAGAACTGGATAAAATCTATGTTAGGAGATTCAAAAAAAGCAGTTATTGAAAACTTTAAAATGGCAGAAAAATCAGGTTGGGAGGACTATTACATCATAGGGTACGTTGGCCTTTGCTTGACCGAAGGATTCCATTGGTTCACATGAACTTTTGAATTTCCAACACACGGTTCACATGTTTTGACCAGAAACATAAATGCAACTTTGGCCTGTTGGTGGCACAAGAGGTCACCAAATTTAAAGTCTCAAAATAAGATGCAGCCTTCTATCACTGTGCCAGACCTCATAAAAAGTGAAAAAATAAGCTCAGTAGGCTGACATAAACATCCACCTCTTCAAAAAAAAAAAATATGTATGCATAAATAAAAGAAAAAATAATAGTTACAGTTCTTGCCCACACAATCCTTTGGTACTTGACATCAAATTTCTTTAGCCAGTGGACAAAACTTGAGAATGTCTCCAAAGCATGCAAAGAATGTAGACTTTACATCTTTAGACTTTTACTTTACGGTATATTTCTTGCTAGTGTTTAAGGAGCTGTGTCACGATTACTCTGCATGCTCGCAACTTTGAACAAAGTAAATCCGTTCAACTTCAAGTCAAAATCTAGAGGGTATTTTTTTTCTATGATAATCGACGATGGAAACCAGCTTACATTCTTAATATCCCCTTGCTAAAGCTTAAAATAGCGCTTTGAATCCTCAAAATTCCATGGAAAGCTCCTTAATATAAAAAGCATGACGCTGGGATAACTAAAATATGTAAATACAATGCAAAAAAGAGACAGATTGGCAAGGATGGAATCAGATGATGACCTGCAGTCAAGTGGATTCACTTTTGTAGGATGTAAGTTCTGAGCATGCGCAGTAATCGTGACACTGTCCCTTTAAGTTTTGTTTTGTGAAAAATAAAATTAATTCAAGTTGCTTATGTCAGAGAGAACAGTCGTGACTCCTCCATTTTCCTCGCTGTTCTGAACTTTTCATCCACAGCTGGTCCCTTTTTCCCTCCCTCGAGCGGAATATGCCATGAATCTGTTCGCCAAATGTGTGCTTGCAGATGAAGCCGCCACTTTGCTCAGCCACTTGTGAGTGAGGCCTGCATTTTCTGTCATCAGTTATCTGTGGGTGGCAAATTATTTTATAGGGGACCTATCATGCAGTATCTTTCCAGTTACAATTATTCTTGGATGTCCAAAAGGGGAGCTTTATTAACTTTTCGGGGGAGGGTGAAAATCCATTTGAGTCCTTATATTCCCAACCCTTCTGATAATTCTTAGTTGGCATCTCCTCTGTGAATTCAGCTCTGCTTTGATTGGGCAGTGAACACAGCCACTGGCCTCATATATCAATTGGAGCGACCTGATACGCAATACAGCACATCGGAAGGCAGATATGATCGGCGATAATGACGGATCAACAGTCAAAATGTGCACGACTGAACTTCCGCCCATATCTGAGCTCGATCAAACACTTATATAATCGCAATTTATAGCGTTTACTTCCATGACATGGACAAAGGCTCAGATAAGAATTTAGCGGTATTTTTAAGGTCATATCCATGATGGTTTTCTTTTGCGAAGCTTCACAATGCTTATCGCATAGTGAGAAAGCTAAATCAAATCACAGTCGAGCTCGAATACGATAGCGCGGTGGCAGAGCTAGATCGAGCGAGAACACTACAGTATACAGTACAGTGCAAATGCTACCTCGCTGAGTCATATTGTAAATATGTGATGTTTATTTAATTTTTAGTTTTATACTGTTCAAAAAGATCAGAATTAAAACAAGAATTCAAATGATAAATTAAATCTTAGATATTCACTTCATCACTTACATACCACAGCGGCTGGGGCTTTGTAGCCTAACTGGCAGGAAGTGAAGACATTTAACTCTGTCGGTCATTGCTGAGCACTTCGTGTTTTTTTTTTTTTTTGTCAGAATAAATGTCGGCTCTTTTCGGTGACTTTATCTTGTGCCAGGAGCAGATAGCCGCATCAAGAAATCTGTCACAAAATGATGTTCTGCTGTAGCCAGGGGGGAGGGGGAACATTGGAAACGGTGTGTTGAGAGTTGGAGGACACCTGAGGTTTTTGTTTGCAGGGATTGATTCTACATTTACCTCATTATTTGAAACAGTTATTTAAAATGAACATCCTTCATTGTCACACTGTAAGACACAAAATACAGAAAAGCATAATTAGGTCCCCTTTAAGGTCAGGTTTTCAGAGCATGACTTTTTTTAAGAATTAAGATATGTATTGATGCATGTTGCTATTCAAATCATAAAGTTGTTTGGAGGCTGTGCTGTAAATGTGTTATAAGGTTTTTATCTTCAGGTATATAGCATTTACGTGATTAAAAATGTCAGGGCTGGAATTAAACAAATTTTGTCTGTGCTTTCAGCAAGGGAGGCCCTGTTGACCCCTGCGTGAGACATCAGGTAGCGGTCTACAGGCTGCCACGAGTGGTGAAGAAAATGTTTTCTAAACTCCTCAGGTTATTGGTAAGTAGCAAGATGCATTAGTGGCTGTGCACACAGGAGCCATGTCCGTTTTTTAGCATGTTGTTTTGAATTATTTAGCCCCCAGACAAAGTCTGGGCTACTATGGATTTGGCCTCGTCATGCATCCGCCAATGCCGCCGCCGTCGAGATTTCCTTGTGGATGCTCGACGGGCCACAAATTTAAAGCCTTTTATTTTATATTTGATATGTACTGTATATGGGCAGTGGTTAGGGCACCAAGCCTATCGATTTTGGTTGCCGTGGTTAGGGCACCAAGCCTATCGATTTTGGTTGCCATGGTGACATAATTCACCAAATAATAGGCAATTTTGTATCAGAAATAAGCCTGATGAAAAATGAAATGAAGGCTAAATGAAAAGTGTGGCCGATCGAGGCCTACACCTGGTTGCAGGCAACCGAGCTGTCTCGTTTACCAATGGTAACGTGCTAAACGTGTGTCTTTTTACCTTGCTTCTGTCTCCTTGACTGTTTAAATGCCGAGCGCTTGCATTTTAAAGACGGCGTCCCAAAGTTAAAATCTCTGGGAAGCGATGCTCATCAATGTCACATTTCACAGTGGACGACCAATCACACTAGTGAAAGGGCAAGATTTGTATTTTCATTGGTCCACTTTGTTAAACAGTATAGGTAAAGGCACAGTCTGTCCTGAGCCAAGTGGCTCATTAGGCTGGGACTTTACTTTGGTTTCTGTAGCATGAAGCAACTAGGAGTTTAGCTACTCCCCATGGATGGGATGCTAGTCCATCGCGGGTAACCCCCCGACATTTAGTTTCCCCAACGATTTGCTGGTACCCTGTCATACATCTGGTTGGAGTGAGGCATTGTGTGACTGAAGTGTTTTTGCCCAAGGACACACCGCAAAAGGTGTGGCAAGGAAGTGAACTCATGACCTTCTGATCCCAAGTCAAGCATGCTCAACCACTGCGCCACCGCATCCCCAGTATTAGTGAAAATTAATCAATATTAATACTGAGTGTGCTGAAATAAATATCAAAACATAAATTTAATTATCTTGTGCTGTTGAAAACCTTTCATATGGCAACATGTTTAAAAGGGCTCCCCTGCAGAGCTCTTTTAACCTGTCTGCGCCGATGTAGACGCCAGTGGACAAGGAGCTGCCCTATTTATGCATGCTCTTACACTGTTCTATCACTAGATGGCGCACCAGGATCAGTTATTGAATATTCACTAGCAATCCAAGCTCGAACATGGTTTAGAATATGGACGAGTTCAGTCCCATCCCTGTTTTTCAGGAGTTGCATGAATTAAACTCCTCAGCTAAGCCTGATGTGCAAACTGCTCTATACACTTGCCCATAGTATCTATCCAGCAGTTCAAAAAAATGGTCTCTTGCTACAGAAAAAATCGTTGTCCTCTGTAGCAACCACTTCAGCTACGGTGACCCACTGGTATCCGAATTGGTAGTAAATAAAAATCAGTTTTCTGAAGCAAAAAATTGACATGGTATTGATACTATGTCATTCTGCTATGAATTATTGTCATCAGATATCAAAAATGCATAGTTCCCAACCGTGGATTTACGCGTAGATTCCTCCATCGACGAATTCAGTGCTCCCTTCTATCCTCCCAAGTACTGACGTTGCTAGCCAGTCACTTAATTGTTTACTTGGGCTCAACTGCGTGACGCACACTTATAGTTCACAGCCGCGTTAAACTTCCCAGGTAATGATGTATCGATTGACACATTTCTTATCCAATTCTACAGAGTTTTAACTTTCCACAGTAACTGAAAGACATTGATTGGACCATCAGAAAAGTATTTAAACCTTTGCGTAACAGCAGTTAGGTCGTATTCTCCTAATGTTGCGTGGGTGAAAATGATGCGATTGCACGGGAAAAAAGACTTCCAAGACTGGCCTGAAGTGCTCACTTACATTTACAGAATTAAAATGAGATATGGACTTGGTCAATAGGAATTATACTGGATGAATCAGGACTGGAGGGTTTTTTCTACCAGGTAGATATGTGTCTCTGGAGGAGAGATTCAATGAAGAAAGGTTTTTGTTCATTTTATGAGTAAGTGCAATTTTATATATTTTCTTACTTATGGCTAGCTGGCTAGCTGTTTTTGTTTATTCTCGGTTTATCACAGCCATGATGATCACAGAGCTTGTGTGCCACATTAGTTAGCAAGAGTGACAGTTAGTCTTCGCTAATAATACTATGTGGTGGCATTTTGCTCAATGTGGCTCTTTGTTTTAGAATTTATGCCGTATTCAACGAAATTGAATGCTGTGGTTTTGGCTCGATTAAAATGCGGACAGCTCAAGCACTTTGGTTGACCCCATTGTAAGTTCATTGCACCATTCTGTTCAATCTAGGGTACCATATTGCCTGCTTTTTTATGATGTTGGACTGTCTGTTCTGTTAAAATAAGGTATATTTCAAATAGAGTTAGTGAATTACACTTGTTCCTCATAAGGTGTGGAGAGTGTTTATATTAGGTTGTGAGCTTGGAAGAGGGCACTGCTGGCTTTTCATTGCAGCGTGAATGTTCTGACCGTTAAATAAGCAGTTCCTTTAATGAGAATGTGTGCTGGCTTGTAGGACTCTGAAAAAATATGGACAAAATTCTAAACTTTATTGGAGAGAAAAGGCATGTTTTGGGTTTGGAGAGGTTACTGGTGATCATAGATGTCCAACTGCGCCTATATTGATAAACTCAAGCTAAATTCAATCAGAAAATCATTAACTAATATTGAATTTAATGCGTAAAAACTTGATTTGTGTTAAATATATGATTATTTTATGATTTGACTGTGCACCATTTTGAGGGAATTGAGTTTGGAGAGCCACCTGGAGAGCTGCCTTATTTGGCTCCGAAAGAGCCAATAATTTAGAATTTCATGCTCAGATGAAGTATAATTTTGGTCAAGGAGTTTATGATCCCAGAAATGTATAGTTTTAAGCCCCCAGCCATTTTTCTATTCTCAGTATTTATTTATTTATTTATTTATTTATTTATTACAATTTCAATGCTGAATTTTCATGAAATTTTTTTATGTTTGCAGCCCTTTTTCTCTACCAAAATCATGAAAATAAACTGAAATACTATGGAATTCTAAATGCTACTAGTGTCTTGACTCAGATGAGCCATTTCCTCCCTCACTGTGAAGCTGCAATCTTGAATTATTAAGGCTTAAATAAGGTAATGCAATTTTCCAGATTTGGCTTCTGTGCAAAGGGATTAAAAAGATGTGCATGAATTGTCGTGTCTTGTTTTTTCTCTCCGGTAAGCACGTCTCCTGTGTGCTAGGCGCCAATGAGAGAGGGAAACTGCTCATTAAATCTTTCTGCAATAATCTTGAACTGAGTACTTAAGAGTAGAAGTGCAGTTATCGTATGGATTTTTAAGGGCCTGTATTGGGGTGGTTTCTTGTTTGTGATAATTGTTGTGTTTTTATGTTCCCTCCTAGTATCCTCGCATGGCTCGTGCAACGGCCGCCTTTTCTGGAGCTGGGTGAGCATATTTGGAAAGCACTTGCCTGTTTTGCATGAATTCATCCGACTCAGGTCAACGCCCTGCATGTCACTGCCTTGCTAGTTTGTCTCAGACAAAACTTGGCCCCCTGCAAGTGGTAGTCAGGTCCCTCCAGATATCTGTGCTGATGTCTGTGATGGTCCAGTGCTGTATGTAGTGCAACGCCAAGCTGCCTGTCGTAGCATCACTAATATCAGGATGAACTGCACAAGCAGTGAACAATATATTTTTTTAGGATCTGCTATGCATAACAGGACTGATGCTGTGTTGTTTGAGGAGTTATCCCCAGTATTTGATGTAACAGGGAGATATAGACATGGTTCATTAACCTTAAAATATATACGTGTTCTAATATAATAAACAAAAATTCTTTATCAGTAAGAACTGGGGTTGTTGTTTCACTGATTGAAATGTTAATTACATTGATCATGAGTTACTTTTACTGCGAAAAATGGTAATTGGATATATGCCATTGAAAAAAAGTGACCATATGCTCTGTGTACAGTATACTGTAAAATCCCAAAGGGAAAAGATTTGAGGTAATCGTAGTAGCACATAATTGTATCCTCAGATAAAATAAAAATAGAAGATTGGTAAGAGATCTTCATTTTTCATGTTGTAGTCTCAGTCAAATGCAAATTTGCATTTATGGTGTCTTTTCAGGTCTGTGAAAAATCTATGGAAGCTGTACACTGAGAATGAGGTATGCCTGGGTTATAGAAACATTTAATATGGGAGGGCACTGTCAGTGTAATTGTTACTCCATCTCAACTCAAATCATTTTTAAAAAAATCAATGCTGAGGGAAAAAGCCACATTTTACTAATCACATCTGCACCGCAGACTGTATAAAAAGATGGACGAAGCAACTGTGGCGTCAGCCATTGGTTTCAGCATACCATTGAGGAAGCCTCGATTTTGGCGATTTGAACAGCGCCATTTTGTCATTTTGAAACCGGATGTGATTCCTATTGGACGAGAGCGTGAATTGAAGCTCCAGGGAGGAGGGAGGGGTGGATCTACGGGCGGATGTGACTGTATCTGATGCGGACCAGAGGATAGCCATGCCCCTAAAGCATATTTTAGCTTTATCCTTCAGTCTATTTGGGACCATAATTTACAAAAATGAAGATCATGACATATCGAAGGTCAGGAGACTTGAAACTTGTGATAGATACCATAAAATAATGTGGAAAATCATTATTGAAACTAGAAAAGTACAGTTCCAGGGGAAACTGCGTGGGCAAGCTGGAAGCTGCCGATAACGTGAAATTTGGTTTGCTGACAATGTGAGGTTAAACCTGCTGGAAAGGAGTTTAAAGCTTCTTAAAATTAAAATTATTCGTGACAGTGGGATATTGTATCGTTTAAAGGAATAGTTTGGATTTTTTGACGTGAAGTTGTATGAAAGCACCTATTTAGGAAGACCTCCCCAAGATGCAACGTTACGACACATCAAACCTACTCCATATATTTATTCGACATAAATTGATAATGTTGCCGACTTAAACATTGCCATAAAAATACACGTGCTCTGTAAGAAAAATAGTGTATGAGAACAAAGTACACTGAACAAAAATATGAACGCACGAACCAAAAATGCTGAGTTAAATTGACCTATAATGAAATATGCCCACAAATAGTGTTTATTGCTGCACTGAATGATTTGTTTTGATCAGTTCTGGTGACCCACTTCTCATTGACCACTCCGTGTGAGATTACTCACTCATTGAGTTATTCTGCCCCTGAGCTGCATAGAGCATAACAATGAGTTGGTCAGTCAGCGTGACCAATACACAGGCACTCCTTGCACCAGGGTCAATAAAAGGCCACTGCATAATGTGCCCTTTTGTCACAAGTCACAATGCCACAGATGTCACAAGTCATGAGGGAGCGTGCCATTGGCATGCTGAATGCTGGAATATCTGTGACAGCAGTGTCAACACACTTTAATGTCAGCCGGTTGAGAAGTAGATTCAGAGAGACTGGCAGTACTGTGAATCGTCCACATGCCCCACGACCACGTGTGACCACGCCCACAAAGGATCAGCACATGCGGCTCCAGCACCTCCGTGATCGGGTCCGACCAGCCACCAGGACAGCTGACGAGACCGTCGGACTGCACAACAGGCACATCAGCTCAGACTGTCCGAAACCGCCTGAGGGAGGCAGACCTCCAAGCCCGCCGACCGCACCGAGATCTCAACCTGACCGTCGTCCGTCATCGGTACAGACTTGACTGGGCCGACCGTAACCTTCACTGGACGCTTGTACGGTGGAGGACGGTGTTATTCAGCGATGAAGCACAATTCCAACTGTACCGCGCTGATGGCAGACAACGCGTATGGCTACGTGTTGGCGAGCATTACGCTGATGCCAGCTCCGAGTTGCACTGTAGGAGGAATGGGACAACATTCCTCAAGCCACTATTGACA